TCACCTCAGCCTCCCAAAGGCGCGGGATTACAGGCTGAGCCACCGAGCCCGGCTGATCACAAATTCTTAGCGGGCAGGGGTCAGGACTGAGTCATTCCCTCCGAGAAAAATCAAAATAAAAAGGCCACTTAAAATAAAGGCTTTCCTTGGTTTGGTTTTAATCATGGCAAGGGTACCAAACATGATTCGGTAAAGCAAGGGGACTGTACGTCTCTGGGGGAAAAAATGCAAGAGCTAGCTAGGCTTGCTGCTGGGCTGGACTTCTGGGTTACCCTACAGCAAAGCCCTAATTCCAGCCAAAGCATCTTCCCACGAAAGGCAAGCTGCTTTCACTCAGCAAAGAGCGGTTCATGCACCTCGCTGAGCAATGCTGAACTTCTCTGGCCATCCAAACTGGTCTCCTCCAGGGGCTGAGGCTGGATGGCTGCAAGACAAGCTGCTCTGGCCTGTCTGGCTGCGACACAGCAACCAAGAGCCAGGCAAGAAGGAGCTTCCCATGGCAGACTGAAGCCCAGCCTCCACTTGCCCAGAATTCTACCCTGCTCTGCTTCAGCATGGAGATCAAGGCTTAGCTCCGCCCGCACCTCTTTTCTTCAGCCTTTGAGGATTGAGCCCTCCAGCTCCTGGATGCCACACCTCTACACTCAAGGATCTATTGGCCAGAGCCTGTCTGCACCTCTCCACAAAGCCACAGGCCCAGGGTGGTGACTGCTGACTTGGTGGAGTGGGCTGGGCAAAGGGCTCTCAATCAAATCACCGTTCCCCGGTCCACTCTGAGGTTCCGTCTCCTCCTCTCTGGCATAGGCTGAATCTGCTCACGAGGGTAGACCTTCCTCTCATCCTCGAGTCCCTGCCTCAGTTGAAGGCCAATCAGCCACTAAAGTTGAGACTTTCTTTTTCATGCTCAGAAAAGAAGGTGGCCATGTGCCCCCCCCGGGGGGGGATCAGTGTGGCCCAGTGGGCAAAGCGCAGGGCCTAGAGGACTCTGACAACACAGATGGAAATCCCTCTTGACCTCGAGGGGATCTCTCAAAGGAAAGCGCCTTTCAAGGGGCTCGAGGTTCTGAAAAGCCTACGTCCTCGGGAGAGAAGCCGGATCCTGGGTGAGTTGAAAGGCCCAGGCTGGATGGCCTCTCTGGTCCCTGCCACCTGGACTGACGGTCTGTGGTCTCTGTGGCCAGCACTGAGAGCCTGTTGCGGCCAAAGGAAGCTGCAGGGGCCTGGGCGAGTGGGGTGTCCCTTCCTGGAGCCGAGCATGGGAGCCTCGTCCTGACCTTCGTCCCCACGATTTGACCCCCCGGCACCATCCAAAAGGATATTTCTGGCGTGCTTTTCCTTTACAGCCACTTCCTGCGTATTAATGGCCTTATTGATGCTGACAGTCTGAAAAACAAGCGAAGGGGGAGAAAGGAGGATGAGAAGAATAAGCCTCTGAGAGCTGAGACCCTCCCAGGTGCCCGCCCCTTCCCCCTCCCTCCTCCAGGGACGGCCTCTGCCTCTCCCTCTCCCTCGGCTGAACCCCTGGCCCCAGGGCAGCCGGTTCCTCTTCAGGCGCCCGGCTGGGGGCAGAGGTGGGCAGTGCTGCCAGGCCAGCTGGCCAGGCTGTCTGAAGGGAGCGGGCGCCATTGGCTGGCACTGGCGATGCCCAGCTGCTGGGCCCGCCTGCCACTCACTCCCTTGGCACAGCAACATGGCAATTAAAGTGAGCACAAAGAGATGCTTTTCATCCCCCAGGGAAACATTATTTCTCCTGGAGCGGGAGGAAGAAGCTCAGAGATCAGGGAGCAACTGTGGCCCAAGACCACCCACCGGCCCCTCTCCCCTCTAAAACACCCTGGCTGGCCACTTTGTCTTTGTTTTCCTACTCTTGGGCATTTTCCAACTCCTAAGCAAAATCCTTCTACCTCCTTAATCACATCAAAGGATATTAAAATATTCACTCCTTTCCAGTTGTTTTTAAAATCCTAATTCTCTGTTTAAGCTAGCACAGCACATATACATAGGAGTATCATTTGCACAAACACAGAGATAGCACCGTACACGTAGGTTTTTTTCCTTTTTCTGTTTTGCTTGCTTCCCCCTTTCACAGACATCATTCTACCCCAACCCATGTTAACAACCTGTTATGTGTCCTACACAACCATCCACACCCCCCCACAAACCTACATACCAAAGGGGTTAATTTTGCCATCATTCTATAAAAATGGGATTGTCGTGTACAGACTTTCTTCATCTTGCTTTTCTCACTTGAAAAAAAATCTCATGGTAATCTATCATGGGGTTAAAAAAAAGAAAGAAAATATCTCGTGGAAAATTCTCCAAGTGGACTGTACAAACTCTAGCTCATTCTTTAAAAAGAAAACATACTATTCCATGGTGTGGGTGGATATGATTTACACAAGCATTCCTATACTGGTAGGCAATCAATTTATTTCCAGTTTTTCTTTTTTACCACTGTAGACTATTTAGTGAACGCTCTATTTTTTTGAGTTGGAGTCTCACTCTGTCACCCATGCTGGAGTGCAGTGGTACAGTCACGGCCACTGCTGTCTCCACCTGCTGGGCTCAGGCGATCCTTTTGCCTAAGCCTGCCAAGTAGCTGGAATCACAGGCATGTGCCACCATGCTCGCCTAACTTTTAAAAATGTATTATAGAGACAAGTTCTCATGAAGTTGCCCGGGCTGGTGTTGAACCCCTGGGCTCAGACAATCCTCTTGCCTCTGCCTCCCAAAGTGTTGGGATGACAGGAGCAACCCACCACACCAGGCCATATATCTTTATTAATTGATGCGTTCGTGTCCGAGGGATAGATTCCTAGGAGTGAGATTACTGTGTCAAAGTGTTTTTTTTTAACCTTCCAATATGGAAAAACTCAAACATATACAAATATGAAGACTAGTCTAATAAGCCCTCATATAGACCCAGCATCAACTATTATGAATTTTTGGCCAAACATGTTTCCAACGGACGAGGGGTCGCAAGTATCTTCTGTAAAGAGCCAGTTAGCAGATATTTTAGGCTTTGCAGGCCACATGGTGTCCATCGCAACCATTTAGCTCCACCCTTGCAGCACAAAGCAGCCCTGGCCGGTACTAAAGGAATTTGTCAATGAATGAGCATGGCTATATTCCAATGAGCTTCATTTTCAAAACCTGTGGCTGTAATTGACCGACCCCTGACTCTATACCATCAGCTCCCAACACTCTTATTTCCCAGTAATTATTTCAGTATGAATCTAAATAAAAGACTCTTTAAAAATTAACCATAATATTATTATACCTAAACTTTTAAAGATAATTCCTTAACATCATCATCTAATAGGTCAGTTAGTGTTCCAATTGTCGCAAAACAATTTTTTGGTATTTGTTCTAATTAGGATACAAATGAGGTGGCCATCGTGCCTTCTAAACAGCTCTAGCAACCCCCATTTCCACTGACAATGTACAAATGTATCCCCACCCACAATAGGGATCATCGCTTTTTTTTTTGGTTGTTGGAGTCAGGGTCTCACTAGCCCAGGCTGGAGTGCAGTGGCACGATCACAGCTCACCAAAGCCTTGACCTCCTGTGCTCAAGTGAGCCTTCCGCCTTAGCCTCCTGAGTGGCTAGGACTACAGATGTATGCCACCACACCTGGCTAATTTTTTAACTTTCTGGGGAGATGAGTTCTCCCTGTGCATTCCAACCTGAGTGAGACTCCAACTCAAAACAAAACAAAACAACAGAGATGTTACAAGAAAGGAGTGAAAAGTTCATTTCCCAAAACTCCCAATGACGCAGCTCCTGTCTCCTATGGAGATCCAGTGTTTACAGCTTTCTCTCCACAGATCCTTCCCTGGACCTCAGTCCTCAGTTCTGCTTTCAGAAGTGTCCCAGGCCGCTCTTTCTCCTGCAGATTTCCTCAGGTGCATCCCAGCCTTTTATTTATTTATTTATTTTTGAGTTGGAGTCTCACTCGGTCGCCCAGACTAGAGTGCAGTGGCCGCTCTCGGCCACC